CGTATAAAAAAAAAAAAAAAAAGTTCAATTCAAACGTTAATGATATTAGAAATATTCATTCTCTCTTTGAGAGTAAAATTCTCTCTTTGAGAGTAAAATTCTTCTGGTGGGAGGTGAAATTCTTACTGGATCTTTTCTATTTGGAGTTTCGATTGTTCAGCGAGAGGGTTCTTCCTTGTTTTTCTATTCTGGTGAGGAAGTGTGGGGTTTTTTTCTAGGGTTTCGCTGGGGGTTGCTTTCAGATTAGGTATGAGAGATAAAGCTGGAGGAGCTGATAAGGGGGGTGAGCTGGGGGACGAGGTGTTACGACAGCTCAATGCATTTTCGTTGTCTGCAAAAGAGGCTGGGGGGATTGAGCTCAAGGTGGATGACGTCAAAACAAGTGAAGCAGAATGTGAGCGGAGTCTTTTTGGTAAAGTGATTGGCGATAGACCGGCCAGTATGGTGGGTATTAAGCGTACTATGAGCAGCATTTGGAAGTTACAACAGTCTATGGAGGTGAAGGAGATCAGCTCGAACTTTTTTCAATTTATCTTTTCTTCCCAGGAGGACAAGATCAAAGTGGCGGCGGGTAATAACTGGTTGTACGAAAATCAGTATCTCATTTTAACGGAATGGTTCTCAGGTCTTAACAGTTTGCACAAATGCTTTGATGAGATTACAATCTGGGTTCAAGTAGTGAATGTGCTGATAAACTGGATGAGCATTGAAGTGGGCATGAGAATTGGGCAGATTTTTAACAGAGTAAAGAATGTGCTTGTGTGTAAGGTAGGAGGGGAGCAGGGGAGCTTCTTAAAAATTCTGGTGGTGCTGAATTTGAAGGAGCCTATACCGAGGTGCATGGCTGTTAAATTAGGGGAGCAGAGGGTGATGGTTGCGTTTAGGTATGAGCGGCTGGTTAATTTGTGTTACTATTGTGGGAAAATAGGTCATCTCGACAGGGGGTGTAAGCGCAGAGCTGATGATATTGAGCATGGTACTCCAGTGGAAGGTCAATACGGAGAATGGCTAAAAGCAAAGGAAACATATCATGGAAGGAGAAGCTTCCAATCAAGCAGCTCCGAAGATAAAGCTATTCCCCCGGAGCAGAACTCAAATCAGGAATCCCTGGTGTCGGTAAGCACTACTCCCAGTAAACCTGCTAAGTCTCAGGCTGAGGGGACAAAGGTGTATCTTGAGGAGGAAAGGGGTGCAGATATTAACATTGTTATGAATCTAGTTGGGGGAGGTGAAGTGTTAAGTCCTATTGGTTGTACGGAGGATGATATTGAACTTCCTATGGAGATTGAATCTCAAGGTGAGCAACTTGTTGGAAATTCTACATTGGATTCTCATTGCAAGATTGAAGGCGCCTCTGGGGGAAAGACTGTGTCTTCCTGGAAGAGGAAACACAGTAATGCTGGTAGGCCTCTGAAACTGTCTGAAAAGGCCAGAGTAAGTGTTTTAGATCAAGAATTAGCTATGGATCTGAAGGCAGCCAAGTCATTAAAGAGAATCAGAGAG